AGAGAGAGAGAGAGAGAGAGAGAAAGAGAGAGCAAATGAATTATGTGTACGTAATAAGCTAAATTTAGACACAGAATTTAAATGTCAATCAGACTGTATACTAAATAATTATATAAATATTACTTGAGTGCAATTAACGTTAGGTTAAGTATATTCCAAGAATATATTTTTACAAGGAAAGATATGTTATATTCCTGAAAACAGGAAAAATAAGATAAAATTTGGTCAAACTATAAGTCGAAAAAAGTATTCTAAATGTATACATGTATGTCATTATTATTTAAAATATTTGCTAAATCTATTTAGTTGATTTTATTTTAATTAATTTTTAGTTAGCATTTATAAATACATTAGTTCCCTCGTAATAATAGTCACAAAAGTGTCTAACATTAAATGTAATTTGTTTTGCAATTGTTAAGAAACATTGTGTAATTAACAGTTTAAATATAAAGAACATTTTTGAATAAAATTTTTATTTATTAAACGCATAAATAAAAATTGATCCATATTGTTAATTACAATTCAGCAATAAATAATGTGGTTTATCCGATCGGCGATGACTTTTGCTCCGTCACACTAGTCTTTCTGCTCAGCCCTTTAACGGTTTGTTCACCTTTCCTGGTCAAAGATTCTACATTGAAATTATTTATAACTTAAATATACATTTTAATTCAATCTTTTCAAATTTATTAAAAAATGGGGCCAAGCTGTTTTCCACTAGGGCATTTTGATCGAGCTAATATGCGTTTTGTTGTCGACCTCAACCGTCTGTTCACCTTTCCTGGTCAAAGATTCTACATTGAAATTATTTATAACTTAAATATACATTTTAATTTAATCTTTTCAAATTTATTTAAAAAGGGGCCAATCTGTTTTCCACTAGGGCATTTTAGATATATGCAATTGGTTCAGTTTATTTACAACGTTTATAATTGTAGTTTAAGCTCTACGGGTTAAACATTTACCATTATCGGTAACCTAGGCATATTATAATTAATTTTTAGTTAATTTACAGTTATGTTCCTACACACATATAATAATATCACAATACTACATTGATTTTCTTTGACAGACAATCCAATTTATTTTAAATATAAATATAAAATTTATTAAATTTAATTATAGTATTTATATTAGTTTGAAAAATATATGTACAATAAAATAAAATAAGTAGGTATCTTACATATCTAGTTAAATGTCATACATGACATCTTATTTCATACGAAAATAATTATTAGTCTATTAAAAATCACAATAATTATAATTATAACGTTAGTATAATATGTTGAAATTCATATGATACACATAATAATAACAAATATTTTTAAACATGGCCACCGAGTTCATTTACTATCCTTTAAATATAATATATCAATTATACGGATTTAATATTTTAGATAAAAATAGAACCCATTGTTTAAAACAAGTATTATTTATCATTATCAAATTAATCTTGCTAACCGGATTACTGTATCACATGTATGATTTGATTTGCGAATATCAATACATTGGTAACATTTATGAGAGTTTGTTTGTCACATCTGTAATCATTAAACTAATAATAATCGTTACAATTTACATGTGTTTTGAATACAAATTACACGAAATCCGGAATATTCTGCGCAAAATTGCTAAAGAATTGCCCGAATCGGAGGGCAAACGTATGCGAACAGCGAGTATAATACTTACAATTTTGTGGTCACTCTACTTAACAATTAACATAGTGTTTGACGTGTGTACCGAACGTAAAGTAAAACTCATATTTTACATATATTGGTCACTAGCGATGTTTGGTTGGCTAACCGCCGTATCGGTGTTGTTAATACAGGTGTCATACGCTGTGCATCTGTTGGACAGGGATGTAATCAAGACACTCGGGAACTTACAACTGCCAGTTGACATACTCTATCAACGTATGCACAAAGCCGTGAAATTGAATGAGTCGCTGAACCGGGTGTTTGGCGTATTTCCGTTCCTAATGTTCAGCGAGTTGTTTCTGACCACATGTTTACGCCTAACGCATATCACTGTCTATAAAGATGCGATCAAAACGCAGTTATATAATGTCGTTCAGGGATTGTCTGAATTCATACAGATTTTGTTTATGGATTTCTTGTATGTGTTTGTCGTCGACTATTGGCAGTCTTGTCGGCCGACAGTCAATGATATGCTCTACCGGTTGAGCCAAACGGGCCGTCGGTTCAGCGCCCGCGACGCCCGCACTCACCACCTGTTGGCCGAGCAGTTAGTGTACGGCTATTGTGACTGTAAATACCGTGCGTTTGGTTTGTTTGCAATCGACAGACGCTTTGTATTCGCTTTCGTTGGAAGTGTTGTTAAGTTTACTGTTATGTTAATACAGTTAACGCAAACTAAATCATAAATTTATTATTTACTTTAATGCATTATTGTAATTTATCTTAACAAATATTATATTATATTGTACTTATAATATAACTTTTAAAATCCCACATTCATCATTAAAATTTTAACATTTATAACTAAATATAAAGTTATATACTTTATATAGTTAATGTTTTTATGTTTGAGTTAATATTTTATCATTATGGAAGGACCTTGATTTTAAGATAATTAAGATGATTAAATATAACATGATCAAATATACATTTATATAAATATTTTTACATATATAATAGATTTAATTTTAAAGAAATGTAACATTTGGTAACATTTTGTAACATTTCAAATGTTCCTTAATCAAAGCACTTTATCAATAATGCCTTAAATATTTGTTTGAGGTTAATGCAGATTATATAAATATTTGATTATTTATTGATAAGCGTGACAGACATAAAACATGAAAACAAATTGACCAATACATAACTGTTTAGTGTTAATTTAAACTGATTAAGATAATAAATGTTCTGCAGTATATAAAAAGTTTTATATAAATTAATTATTAAATTAATTTCATTAGCATTCATCTTATACAAATTACAAGTTATAGTTATTTCCTAAATAAGGTGATCATGTTAGTAGCGGTGGTTTTCATACTATCGCCAATAGTGTTAACAATAGTCCTATTGTGGCAAAAGTGGACGTTTTGGAAACGACAGGGAATACCGACCGACTGGTCGGCCAGAAGTGGTCGACCCTTTCATATCGCAGACAATGAGTGCCACAAAAAACACGGAAAAGTTGTCGGGTATTTGACTATTAATTACAAGCAATAAATTAAATCATTTTGTTTTAATAATTAATTATTTATTATCAATATATTATTAGTTTTTACGAGGGTTTGAGGCCGTGTCTATCGATAACTGACCCCGAGCTTATACGAAAAGTATTGGTCACTAATTTTCACCATTTCCCAAACCATAGGGTAAGTTTTAAAGCATTCAACATGATTAAATATAATTATTTTAATTGTTATAATATTTATTTTTTAAAAATATTTGCAAATATAATTTAAAATTTAATTAAACAATAATAACACCACAGTATGTTTAAATTAAATTATTATTACCATATATAAACATAAACGCACCTAGGAACTTACCTTGGACTCCGAGCCAATGAGCAAAGGGCTATTTTTATCACGTTATCCGCTATGGAAACGTATGCGCGCACTTCACGCGACCTCATTCACCACCGGACGCATCAAAGCTATGCTACCGATAATGTCGGACACGTTTGAACGGTTGGCCACTCTATTGGACCCGAAAGCCCGCGACAGCCAAGTGGTAGACTTCCGAACAGTTTACGACTCGTTCACGTTTGACGTGATTACTAGAGCTGTGGCCGGTGCCGACGCAAACGCCCTCGATCACCCCGATGATAACCCACTGTTCACCTCGGTGATCACAATGTTTCAAAATGACCAAGGTGTGCGCGATTGGTTGGTGTTTTATATGCCGTTTTTGCGCCGTTTCGTTGACATACCTTTCTTTGACCCGAAAAAAATGCAAGTAATCAGCGATACTGTGGATCACGTGATCAGCGAACGGGTGGCCAACGACGCACAGGTGCCCGACTTTTTACAGCACTCGGTAAACGCCAGCGTATGGGCCGACACATACCCGACCCCTCCTGTAAACGTTAATAAGGCTTTCGATAGTAAGTAGTATTAAATTAATCGTACGTTTTGTCAAAAATAATTGATTTACCATGATTGTTTTTTATTTGCGCATAGAATTGACCAAGGATGAGGTAATTGGTCAGGCGATTAACATGTTGGGCGCCGGCCACGAGACCACTGCGTCCCAGTTGTGTCTAATCACACGCATTCTTGCGCTCAAACCGTGGTATCAAACAAAACTGGTTCACGAGATTCATAACACACTGTATACTAAGGATACCAACGAGTTATCTATGGATTACGAAAAGTTGCAAAAAATGCCACTTTTGGACGCATTTATCAAAGAGGTTATGAGACTTAACTGTTCGGTCAGTCGGTCAGTAGTGTTGCCACATGTTCTCACTAAAATACTACTACTTGTTATTTAAATAAGTAAATGTTTCTTAATGTTTATGTTGTAATAGAGTCGACAGAATGCTTACGAAAGATATGTATTTAGAGGGTATTTATCTGCCAAAAGGCACGTCTATTGTAATACCGATTTGGGCGCTGCATTTAGACCCTGATCACTTTGCCGACCCCGATGAGTTTAAGCCGGAACGATTCCTACAGGAAAATCTAGATGATATCAAACCATATACATACCTACCCTTCTCATGGCCAGGCGCGTTAACGTAACCATACGCTAAGCGACATAATCTCGAGTTCATATGCAATCAATTCGACAACACATCCATACTCAAACACCGGACGCTACTCTGGTTCCAATCTAAAATTAACAACCTTTCTAGTTATTCATGCTTATGTAATTGTTATGAATTTATTAATCCAATAGGAAATGGACTATTATAATCCATTGGTACAAATAGCTAGTGTTAGACGCATGATGGTTCAGATTAAACACCGTGATGGATTTAATAATAATTTATAATTTCTTACATATTTGTTGTAATTATGAAAATTTATTACTAATTGATTAAATACTTTTCCAAAATAATAATTATGCCAACCATACATACGAAACTTTCCGGTGTTTAACTTTAATAATATTGACACCTTTATTGAAATGAGTGTAGCCGTCGAGTGAAGGGGCAAATGATGCTATAACCTACATTATTTATAGCTGAATTGTGGTTAAAAATAATAATGACACTTTTGGCTGACAAAGGCTACGAGATTCCTACGGTAAAAGTTACATATAACTTATATGTTATAATATTTATATTATAATTCAAGTTATATCAAAAATATTTGAAAGCCATTTTATTTGCAAACAGTTTTAATTGGTATTTAATTCATTTATAAATAATAATACAATAAAAGTATTTGTGATGCAATCGATATTAAATACAAATAAATAAAAATTGTTAAATTTAATTACATTAATTATGTCATTTGTGGATATGAAAATATAAAATTATATGTGTGTGCAATTAAATCGATTGCATGATAAAATATGTAAATAGTTATTAGTTTAGTTAAAATTGAAAACATTACGTCAGAATTATAACACTTTTATATTAAGATTTAGTTTATATAGATTTAGATGTTATATATCTTTTGGTAAAATTATATTTTCAAATATGTCATCAAGATCCATTTACTACCCTTTAAATTTAATATATGTAGTATACGGATTTAGTGTACTAAATAAAAACAGCTCACATTTAACAAAATGTGTTTTATTTATCATCGTCAAATTGATTTTGTTTACCGGACAATTGTATCACTTGTATCGCATGATCCTTGAATACCAATCAATTGATAGCTATTACAATGGTTTGTTCATCACATCCATAGTCACTAAACAGATCATAATCGCCACGATTTACGTGTGTTTTGAATACAAATTACTTGAAATCCGGAATATTCTGCAAAAAATTAAAGATCAATTGCCGGAATCGGACGGTAAACGCGTGCGAACATCAAATATAATACTCACCATATTCTGGTCACTCTACCTGGCAATTACCCTGTTGTTTGATGTATTCACTGAACACACATTGTACTTGGTCATTTACATCTACTGGTCGCTCGCGATGTTTGGTTGGCTAACAGCTATACCGGTGCTGTTAATACAGGTGTCATACGCTGTGCACCTGTTGGACAGGGATGTAATTAAAACACTGGAAGACTCACATCTGTCAGTCGACACACTCTATCAACGTATGCACAAAACAGTAAAGCTAAATGAGTCGATAAACCGGGTGTTTGGCGTATTCCCATTCCTACTGTTCAGTGAGTTGTTTCTGACCACATGTTTACGCCTAACGCATATCACTGTTTATAAAGATGTGGTCAAATCGCAAGCATTTAATATCATTCAGGGATTGTCTGAATTCACGCAGATTTTGTTCATTGATTTCCTGTATGTGTTTGTCGTTGACTATTGGCAGTCCTGTCGGCCGACTGTCAACGATATGCTCTACCGGTTGAGCCAAACGGCCCGTCCGTTCAGCGCCCGCGACGCCCGCACTCACCACCTATTGGTCGAGCAGTTAGTGTACGGCTATTGCGACCGTAAATACCGTGCGTTTGGTTTGTTTGCAATCGACAGACGCTTTGTATTTGCTTTTGTCGGAAGTGTTGTTACGTTTACTGTTATGTTAATACAATGGTCGAGCAGTTAGTGTACGGCTATTGCGACCGTAAATACCGTGCGTTTGGTTTGTTTGCAATCGACAGACGCTTTGTATTTGCTTTTGTCGGAAGTGTTGTTACGTTTACTGTTATGTTAATACAATTAATGCCAATCAAACTATAAATGTATTTATTTATATATTACTAAATTTTTATCATTTTACTGAAAACATATTATTTAATTATGTTAATAAAGTATTTTTAGTTTTTTTTTATATATAATTAAACTTGATGCAACAAAATCTTTATTAACAATTTTCACAAATAGTTGTTTTAAGTTGTAATAATAGTTACATGTTAAAAATATATTCTACATTACCCGATATGTCACTCTTGTATTCTCCCAGAATCTGAATATTTTTTGTGTTGTTAAAGTTATAATGTATTATTTGAATGATTTTTTAATTAAATGTTAAAATGTTTGTATTAAAACTAATCAATCCAATTAAAATTTTATACATTCATAAATATAGATTTTCTAAATATTTTATAATTATAATATTTTGTCATTAATTCAAGTTATAATTATTTCATATGTATTAATACTATTCAATAATCACTAGAAATCAACAATTATTGTAAATTTATGTACATACATTTTAAATATTTGACATTATAATATTTAATTAATTTTATTTGTAAATTGCGTTTTAATTTGTATTTATTGATTTTTTTTGTGAACACATTGACAGATGTTTCTACAGTTATATAATTATATAAGATTGGGTTGAATGTTGTTTTGACAAATATTTTTAATATATACAAATAAACATATAATTACTACAACAAATGCTATTAAAATAACATTAATTATGCTGTTTATGCACCAGAATATAAAATTAAATATATAGAAAAAGTAAATCAATAGCATAATAGGGAAATAATTAAAATTGCAACTAACATTATTATAACACTTTCATTTTACATACATGTAGTACATGGTTTGTTAACAATTATTATTTTAAATATGACATCAAAATCCATTTACTATCCATTAAATTTAATATACGAATTTTACGGATTCAACATACTAGATAAAAGTAATATTCATTGTACAAAACGAGTGGTATTACTGATCTTAAAATTAATTTTATTCATTGGAGAACTGTATCACTTGTATAGTTTGATTGGTGAATACCAATTCATTGATGACATTTACAAAAGTTTGTTCATCACATCCATAGTAATCAAACAAACCATAATCGCCACGATTTACGTGTGTTTTGAATACAAATTACGTAAAATCCGCAAAATTCTGAGCAAAATTAAAAATCTATTACACGAATCTGACGTTAAACGCGTGCGAACAGCGAGTTTACTACTTACAATTTTCTGGTCACTCTACCTGACAATCACCATATTGTTTGACGTGTATACCGAACGTAAACTAATTCTCATCTATTTAATTTATTGGTCACTATCTATGTTTGGTTGGCTAACGGCTATACCGGTGCTGTTGATACAAATTTCATACGTGGTACATCTGTTGGACAGGGCTGTACTCAAAGCTTTGGACAACACTGACTTACAAATGCCTGTCGACACACTCTATCAACGTTTGTATACAGCCGTGAAGTTGAATGAGTCGATAAACCGGGTGTTTGGCGTATTCCCGTTCCTACTGTTCAGCGAGTTGTTTCTGACCACATGTTTACGCCTAACGCATATCATTATCTATAAAGATGTGGTCAAAAGGAAGTCATTTAATATCATTCAGGGATTGTCTGAATTCACGCAGATTTTGGTCATTGATTTTCTGTATGTGTTTGTCGTCGACTACTGGCAGAGCCGAAGACCGTCCATAAATAAGATGCTCTACCGGTTGAGCCAATCGGCCCGTCCGTTCAGCGCCCGCGACGCCCACAGTCACCACCTATTGGTCGAGCAGTTAGTGTACGGCTATTGCGACCGTAAATACCGTGCGTTTGGTTTGTTTGCAATCGACAGACGCTTTGTATTTGCTTTCGTTGGAAGTGTTGTTACGTTTACTGTTATGTTAATACAGTTAATGCAAACTAAATCATAAATATAAATAATATCTTGTATTTTATAATAAGATAAATAGTATTTTATTAATTTAATAATATTTTTCAGATATTTATATAATTAATTTTATTTTATTTAACACAAATATATAATGGACAATTTTTAAAATTTATTATATAATTATAATTTATAGTTTACAGCATTAACAAGTACACTATCAATAAAATGAACATGTATAATTATTAAAATATTATGTAAAACTAATTGACTTTTCATTTAAATAAATTGAATGTTTAAGAATTACTGAGTTTATAATAAATAATAACTTGATAATTAAATAAGTAACATACTGTACATATAAAGTTGAAAATACTTTACATTGAAAATAATAATTTAATTGCTACATTAAAACATAACTAACAGATTTAGAAATTTGGTTATGGTTAGCAAATTTAAATATTAATCTATTATTAATTAAAATAATTAAAATTAATTATGTTTGCAATAACTCAATGAGCATAACAGTGAACGACACGACAGACCCCAAGAATGTGAACACAAACTTCCTGTCAATAGTAAACACATTGAACGCAATGTATTTGCTATGCGAATAGCATTGAACCAATTGCTGAATTAGATGTACATGGTCATTTGCTTTTGCTGTTGATAACGGACCATTCAATTGACTTAAACGACAAGACAGTGTATTAAGTGTCGGCCGTTGGGACTGGAAATAGTCGATTGAAAACAAGTAAAACAATGCAATCGCCAAATGTTGCAGGAATTCATAGTAACCCTGTATTACAAAAATGAAACGGGAATTGTTTAGGTCTCGGTTGAGGGTCAGGTGGGTTAGCCGTAGGCATGACATCGAGAATAGTTCCCCAAACATCAGGAACGGGAATATTCCCAACGCGTGGTTTACCGACTCCTTTAACGCCTCAATTTTCATAACATTTTCCGCTGTTTTTTCCAACGAGTGGTTAATTGTGTCAAAATTCCGGATTAGATTTGTTTCCCAGATGTGTATACCGTATGCCATGTGTATC